TTAGACTAATCAAGAAAAAAAGAGACACAAATTGCCAATATCAGAATGAAAGAAAGTCCATCACTGCATTAAAAAGACAATTAAAAGGACAATAAAGGAATACATTGAACAACCCTGTGCCGACAATTTTGATAACTTAGAGAAGATGGACCATTTCTTAAAAATTATGAACTATATCAAAATTCAGAAAGAAGAGAAAGATAATCTGAATAGCCCTATATCTACTAAAAAATAGAATCAATAATTAATAACTTTCTAAAAATGACAGCACCAGGTCCAGATAATTTCACTGGCAAATTCTACCAAACATTTAATAAAGAAATAATACCAATTCTCCACAAGCTCTAAAGGCAAAGGGAACACTCCCTAACTCATTCTATGAGCCCGGCATGACCAGAACCAGATAAAGTCATTAAAAGAAAGGAAAACTGCAGACCAATGCTTCTCATGAACACAGATGCAAAAATCTTCTGCAAAATATTAGCTGATCAAATCCAGCCATATATAAAAAGAATTATATACTATGACAAAGTAGGATTTACTCTAGGTATGCAAAAACGATTTAACATTAGAAAACCAATCTATGTAATTCAGGCTAAAGAAGAAAAATCATGTTAACTGACACAGAAAAATCATTTGACAAAATCCAACACCCATTCATGATAAAAACTCTCAACAAACAAATTAGGAACAGAGGCAAACTTCAACTTGATAAAGAACATTCCCCCCCAAACCCCCCCCGCCCCGAAACAAGAAAAAACAGAGCCAACATCACACTTCATGGAAAGAGACTGAAAGCTCTCCTCTGAAGACTGGGAACAAGGCAAGGATGTTCTCTCTCACCACTCCTATTCAATACTGTTTTGGAAGTCCTACCTAGTGCAATAAGACAAAAACATATTGGAAAGGAAGAAATAAAACTGTCTTTAATCTCAGATGACATGATTGTCTATATAAAAAAACAGGCAAGGGGCTGGATTTGACTCCTGAGCCACAGTTTGCCAACTCTTGCTAGAAAGCCAGGTTTTTAATACTAAGTTATAATCTATCCACTGCATTATTCATTACACAGAAATCCCTGCTCATTTGTCTGCCCTGAATAAGACAGGTAATTTTAAAAGGTGGGGTCAAATGGTGGTGAGAAGAATGGCCTTGGTCTAAAAACAGATTTATGAAAGTGAACTCTATTCTTAAGTTATTCTTTAAAAATCCCTATATTTAATATGACTCTGTAAAACCTGAATTAGTGATCAGTCTTCATATTAGTGATTTATATATATTATTGACACCATGCTTAAGATATTTTATCTGTAATACTCCCCTCAATAAAGCAGAATATATGAATGTGAAAAAAATTGATAAAACCTTGAAGTCATTGACACAGAGACAAAAATGATCCTATCCTAGAGATTATCCAGTTGTGGTTTTTCAAATTATAATCCATGGAACTATATCATTTTTCAAAATGTCTTAAGGACTGTTACAGGAGAGGAGAAAAAAACTAAGGGCTGTGGCTTTCCCTTACCTCGAAAAGATCAGATCTATTGTTAACTGCTTCACAGAGTGTTCCATTGCCAGAAATTTTAAAAATCAGTGGATCTAATCCAATGCTTTCATTTTTGAATATGAGAAAACTCAGATGAGATAAGATTAAGAGACTTGCTGCAACTTCAAAGGCAGAGATGGTACTAGAATCTTGGTTTCCTGACTACTAGGCACCCTTTCTACAACATCATCTGGCTTACTTACATAGTTATAGTTCAGTCCCCAGAAATTAATGTTCTCACTTATAAGTATTAATAGTTTTTCCTAAAGTTTAATTACAATCGGATATATACATACATTAAAAAAATCTTTAAGTGTTAACTCTCAGAAATCAAGCTCTTTTTTAAAAAAATTTCAGAATATTACAGGGGTACAAACGTTTTGTTTACATGGATTATTTTTTTACAGTTTGAGTCAAAGTTGTGTGTCCATCACCCACATAGTGTGCACTGTACCCATTAGGTGTGAATTTACCCATTCCCTCCTCCCCCCCAACACCTGCTTGATTTCCATTGAATTTTACTACCATATGTATACAAGAGTGTTAATCACTTAGTTCCAATTCAATAGTGAGTACATGTGATGTTTGTTTTTCCATCTTTTTTTTTTTGAGACAGAGTCTGGCTCTGTTGCCCTGGCTAGAGTGCCATGGCGTCAGCCTAGCTCACAGCAACCTCAAACTCCTGGGCTCAAGCGATCCTCCTGCCTCAGCCTCCTGAGTAGCTGGGACTACAGGCATGCGCCACCATGCCAGGCTAATTTTTTCTATATATATATTTTTAGTTGTCCAGATAATTTCTTTCTACTTTTAGTAGAGACGGAGTCTCACTCTTGCTCAGGTTGATCTCGAACTCCTGACCTTGAGCAATCCACCAGCCTCTGTTTTTCCATTTTTATAATACTTCACTTAGGAGGATGGTCTTCAGTTCTATCCAGGTTGTTACAAAAGGTATTAGTTCACCATTTTTTTATGGCTGAGTAACACTCCATGGTATGCATGCATTTTGTAATTCATTGATATACTGATGAGCACTCAGGTTGTTTCCACATCTTTGCGATTGTGAATTGTGCTGCTATAAACATTCTAGTGCAAGTATCTTTTTTTCCTTTGAGTAAATACCTAGCAGTGGGATCGCTGGATCAAATGGTAGGTCTACCTTTAGTTCTTTGAGGTATCTCCACACTACTTTCCATAGAGGTTGTACTAGTTTGCAGTCCCACCAACAGTGTATAAGTGTTCCTTTCTCTCCACATCCATGCCAGCATCTATTGTTTTGGGATTTTTTGATAAGAGCCATTCTCGTTGGAATTAGGTGATATCTCATTGTGGTTTTGATTTGCATTTCCCTGATGATTAGAGACTTAGAACATTTTTTTCATGTGTTTTTTGGCCATTAGTTTATCTTCATTTGAAAAGTTTCTGTTCATGTCTTTTGCCCACTTTTTAATGGTGTTTAATTTTTTCTTGCTGATTTGCTTGAGTTCTTTGTAGATTCTGGTTATAAGCCCTTTATTGGATGTATAGCGCACAAATATTTTCTCCCATTCTGTAGATCAAATTATCTTATATAATTGTTTGTATTCCGTAACATATAGAATAGTATCTAGACCTTGATAAAATTGTTGAAATGTACACATTTTTCAGATAAAATTAGCACTGTTATTATTAGAATACCACATTATCCTTGATAAAGCAAAGTATTCTTGTCCTCACAACACATGTGTTTCTAAAGAGTTGTGTAGCTTCTCACATTTTTAAAAAAACAAACAAAAATTTTTAAAAAGACTTTGCTGAATTTATTTATCAATTCCAGATTCAGCCTCTTGGCAGATCTTTGGGATTTTCTAGATATAAGATCCTATCACCAGCAGAAAGCGACAGTTTGACTTCTTCTTTCCCCATTTGGATACCCTCGATTTCCTTCTCTTGTCTGATTGCTCTGGATAGGACTTTCACCATCATGTTGAACAGAAGTGGTGACAATGGGTAACCTTGTCTGGTTTCAGTTCTAAGCAGAAATGTCTTCAATTTTTCCCCATTCATTATGATGTTGACTGTAGGTGTGTTGTATATGGCTTTTATAATATTGAGGTATGTTTTCTCTATTCCTATTTTGTTAAGAATTCTTTTCATAAAAGGGTGCTGAATTTTGTCAAATGCTTTTTCTGCATCTATCCAAAGAATCATATAGTCTGTTTTTTCTTCTATTTATGTGGTGAATCACATTTACAGATTTGCATATATTGAACCATCCTTGCATCTCTGGGATGAAGCCCACTTGATTGTGATGAATTATTGATCACATCCTAGGCCACAAAACACATCTCAACAAATTTAAAAAAACAGAAATTATACCATGTATCTTCCATCATAGGGGAATAAAATTAGAAATCAATTCCAACAGAAACACTCAACTCTACACAAAGTCATGGAAAATAAACCACCTACTACCGAATAAGTTATTGGGTCAAGGAGGAAATTAAGAAGGAAATCAAAAGATTCTTTGAACTAAATGACAAGAGGTCACAAGTTATCAAAATCTGTTGGCTTCAGCAAAAGCTATCATAAGAGGAAATTTCATAGCCATAAATGCCTACATCAAAAAGACAGAAAGATCACAAATCAACAATCTAATGAATCGTCTCAAGGAATTAGAAAAGGAAGAGCAAATTAATCCCAAACCCAGAAAAGAAATAACTAAGGTCAGAGCAGAACTAAATAAAATTACTAACAAAACAATTACACAGAAGATTAATGAAACAAAAAGTTAGTTCTTTGAAAAGGTGGACAAAATCAACAGGCCTCTTGCTAGATTAACCAGAAACAGAAAAGAAAGGACCCTAATAAATTTAATCAGAATGAAAAAGGAGATATTACAACTGATATCACAGAAATACAAAATATCATCTGTGAATACTATAAAAATCTCTATGCACATAAACTTGAAAACATTGAGGAAATGGATCAATTTTTGGAAATATACAACCTCCCTATGCTCAATTGGTCATGAACAGACAAATATCAAGTAATGAAATGGAAGCAGTAGTAAAAAAATCTCCCAACAAAAAAATAGTCCTGGACCAGATGGCTTCACAGCCCCAAATGTTACCAGACCTACAAAGAAGAACTAATACCTATACTGCAGAAATTACTTCATAACATAGAGAAAGAAGGAATCCTTCCCAATTTGTTCTATGAAGCCAGTATCACCTTCATACCAAAGCCAGGAAAGTATACAACAACAACAAAAAACTACATACCAATATCCCTTATAAATATAGATGCAAAAATTCTCAATAAAATTCTAGCAAACTGAATTCAGTTGCACATTAAAAAAATAATCCACCACAATTAAGCTTCTTTTAAAGTGAAATTTATCAGTCATAACAGCTACAGAATTATATAGTGGCCCAGAGATTATTCTCTTTTTCAACCAGAAAAAGATAAAAAGTACCTTTTCAAGTCCAGGTTTTGAAATCTTTTCAGTTCCACTATTGCTTTCAAGGCAGATTCCTTCATCAACACCATCATCGTTGGAGAAATCATTGCTCATCTGATCACTGTGGCAACTACCTTCATTTTCTGCTCCACTGTCAGTGCAACTTTCAGTCTGAGGAGATTTCTTAATAAAACACAATTATCTTAAAATTATAAGCCAAATAAAAGGAAAAATATTCAGGAAAACTTTTCACGTAATTTAACATATTCTTATTAATACAAATATTTATTTTATGTTAAATAAATTTATCTTCTCTTCAAAAAGCAAGATCTTAAGTAAAATTAAACAAGCGATAAAAAGTGTATTTTAAAAGCATTTCTATTATGTCCTTAAAATTCTAATACAACAAATTACTGATAAGCCCCATTTATGTTTATCGTTATAAAATACAGTAAAAAATTACCATTTCTTTCAGCAAAATCCACAAAAGCAGAGAACCTGAGCTCCTAAATGAGCTTCTTGTGTTCTCAAATCCCAAAAGAATACCATCTCTATTCTTGAACAAAAAGTTCCACTCAGTTTATCACTGTTAGGTATTATAGATAATTAGAAAGAAAAACAAGACATTTTATCTTTCCTCAAGAACTGTAGTGTAGTGGAGGTAGAAACGTAACAATAGCAAATCATACTTTTTTGCTTTACGGTTTTAAATCACATTCACACAAATTTAATTTGAAGAATTCTACTTCTTAGAAATTGCCAAACAACCCCTGCCCCTTTTCCTTTAACATTTTATATATATATTTGTATATACCTAAAAATGTTTCTATTTAAATAGTTTGAGAATTTTCTAAGACACATGTTCTTGATAAGTGTAAGGTATCACACAGAAGTTCTTGAATGCATCTAAGCAATATATAACAAGCACAAACTTTTTGCCAGGAACTTTGTTGTAGGTATTACTTTTAATATACAGTCTTTATTTTTCAAGAAAGTTTGCTTCAAGGATAAGTGGAGGTGAAAACCAACTTTAGAACTCTATACTAAGTCCAAAAAGATAATTCCTGAAACTCCTTCAATTAAGCCAAAATATCTCTTCTCCCAAGAACTAGACCTAGAACTTCCTTTAAAAAGATGCTGCCAAACTTTTTAGCTAGGTTTTCTTCCCTTGGAAAAGATTTCCCTTTAACATTAGGGATATTCAGAAGACTGATCTAATACGGTCCTCTATTTGAATAGAAATTCTCCCAAGATTATGTCTCCTTTGAAAGTTTGGCATACTTTGGATAGATGTCCTAGCTCAAGTAGAAATGTCTGAGATTGTTTTCAATTAAATCTTTCAAAATGTTATCTGGTCATAGTTACCATTCAAAGAACATTTACTTCATTTAAGATACCTTCTTCCAAAAGCTAAAAAAAAAATTTATTATTCTTACTTTTCAGACAAGGAAAATGAAAGTTTAGAAAGGTTATATGAATTATCCAAGGTCAAGAAGCTAGCAAACAGTTGGACACGGACTTGAACACACAGCTAGTTAAGCCCAAAACATGTGCTCTTCTATACCACATTGCTTCTTAGTACTTAATAGTACTAAATAAAATTTGATGAATGCTTAAAGTTATTTTTGAGCTCCTAGGAAAAGGCATTTTTATAACTATATTAAACAGTTTCAACAACAAAAAAATGCTTCATGGTAGTTACAGAGTGATAAATCTATGACAACTAAACTAAGTGATTATAAATATTCCACATAATGAAATCAGAAGAGTTTCCAAAAGAATAGAGTGGAATATTATAAATTTTTTATTGAACAAGGCTAGAGAAACCAGAGAATTGTGGGAGGCCAATGAATGGGAAGAAATTGACGAGCATTACATGTGTCCTTCAAAGTCTCATGCTCAAACTATTTAAAGTTTCCAAATTTAAAAAAATTAATTTAAAAAGGAAAATAGACAAAACATCCTATATTTTCCAGTTTTCTAACCCAGACAATTTAAGAGTTAGCAAACCTTAAGTGGGAACAACCCAGATACCTTAATCCTTAAAAAACACACTGAGACAAATATAAGAAATTAAGTCCATGCTACTCAGTCTGTTCATTTATTCATTCATATATATTTGTTCTGCATTTATTATGTATCAGAAACACAAGTACAGTTCACCTGTAAACTAGTTTCAATAACTAAGAAATTATGAAACATAAGATTCTCTCTCATTCCAGAGTTGTGTTCCTTATTATCTTTTCAAAGAGTATCATAAGTTACTCTGACCAAACAAGAATATTTGAAATATAATTTGAAATATGGTGGTCAGGAAAAGCTTACACAAAGGTAAGTCTTTTTATAGAATTCAGCACTAGAAAATAAGGGGAAAATAAGCTTCCTTCAAAGAGTCTAAATGACATCAGTGGTAAGTTACCCCTAACAGCTCTTTTAAAAATACGACTGACTAAAGTGGATTAATGAAAAATATTTTATAACAAGAAAACATAATAAATATTTACCTCATCTTCAACATCAATAAATGTACTCATATCTAGCTCTTCAGGAAATGTCATTCGATCATTCAATTTAATCCTATGCATGGTTGTATAATCAAAATCAAACCTTTTCAACTGTAAGGTCAGCAGATAAGGGAAATGCAAAAACCGAAGGCCCTAAAAAAACAAAGGGGTGGACTCTATTCAATATTGAATATTATCTCTGATAATTAATTATTAATCTTTATATGGCATTTACCTTTCGTGCATCACACTTCTTCTTACAGCGTTCACAAAAATACTGATTTGGGCCATCCAGGATCTCTGGCTGAATAAATGCATGCAATGCTTCTTCCTAGTTAGGAAAAAAAATGGTTTATAATTACTTAAAATATTATGTTAATGACAAAGCCCTGAATATAAAAACACTGCAATTACCAAAACAGTTTTAAATAGAATGGCTAGAAATTTAGAAACTCAGAATGTACCAAAGAAAAAAATTATCAATAGCAAAATAATATTACCACTATAAAAATTAAACAAAAAGAAAATTTTATTTGCCTTTCTTAGTATTGCACATAACAGTCATTTCTACCTAATTTTTATTGACTTTACATTGTGGTGCTTGGCTAAATAATCTTAAAAAAACCTCACTCTTTAGATTAAAAAGTAATTCCATCCTTCTAAGAAAAGCAGTTACATGTTATCACTTCAATCTTCTTATAAAAGGAGGCATTTTTAAACTGTACAGCAAGTAACATTGACCGCTAAAGAATTCACACTATCCATACACTTAAAAATCAAATATCCATCCTTAATCACTATAGTTAGGGTCAGTCAGTAATCTACCACTGCAACAGTTATAAAGATTGAAAGACGCTGTGCAACCTTCTCACTGAATGTGAGATATTGCTCCTTTTGAAAATGTACAAGAGCTCCTGGATTGCTCATCTAGTAGAACTACGTGGTTCTCTTTTCTCCATACGGCCTTAAAACAGAAGAAACTTAGAATAAACACTGTTGAAGAATCAGTACATATAAAGTTTTATTTTAATTTTTAATAACTGGTTTTTCACAAAAAATTAGTCAATAAAACATGATTGGATGCATAATCTCAAATTTAATCTGATGCTCTTTTCTTCACACATGGTCTAAGCAGAACTTCTGCTTAGATAATATTTATTATATATAAAGAAAAAGAAATGAAATCATTAAGCCAAAGTAACTTAAAATATTTTCCTTTTGATACAGAACAAGTTGTTCCTCAAAAGATAAATAAAGGAACTTAATTTGGCAAAATGGTCTTAGTTGCAAAATAGCTGGCAAAGCTTCTAAAACTAATATCCATATACTGTTTGATATAGCTCACTTTGGAACAACATAAAAATTTGGAAAGGTATTAAAAGGCTTCTAAACTCATCCCATCTCCTATTTTGTTCTCAGAAAACAAGGAAGCACCAAGATGGGGAAAAACCCGAATAGCCGGGGTTTTTCCACATGACCAAGCATTTTCCTGGAGGTTGTAGGAAAGGACACATTTAAAAAACAATTTTTTTCTCTAAAGCATATTCTAAGAAAGAAAAAAGATAAATTCTATAAAAACATAACAGAGGAAAAAGGCTTTAAAAGAAACCACACCTATAGCTTAACATAGATTGATACTAAATTTGTCAGGCTTTCCAAATAGAGGTAATTTGAACTGGTAAAACACTTGATACCTAAAAAGTGGGGTGGGGGTAGAGTGAGAAAATTATGTAACTCGAACTCTACTAAACTACTGGCTCTGGCTTATAGTTCATAGCTGGGGAACTTTTTTAAAAAAAATAATTTAAATCTTAGAGAAAAGTTTAAAGAACAGGGAATTCTCAAATACTCTTTACTCAAACTCATGAACTTTTTAACATTTTGCTACTTTTGCTTTATCCGCCCCCAACATTATTATTTTCTGAACCATATGAACCAACAGTATTTTTTTCTGAACCATGAGAGTAGGTTCACACAAAACATCATGCTTTACCTCTTAATACTTTAATATGTCTTTTTAAGAACAGGGACATTCTTATACAAACAGTACAGTTATAAAACCGAGAAAAATTTGGTACTGATAAAGTACCTTGTCAGTCCATATTCCAATTCTGTCAACTACTCTGATAATGCCCTTTATAGCTTTTATCCCCATTTAGGACAAATCTGGGGTCACAGATTTCATATGGCTATCTGTCTCTTTAAAGTCCTCTAATCTGGAATAGTTCCAGAGTTTTTTCTTTCATGACACTGATACTTTTTGAAAAACAGAAGCCAGTTATTTTATAAACTGTTCCACAATTTGGGTGTGTCTTTTGTTCTTCATTATTGGATTCATTTTATACATTCCATGCTAGACTATCACATATGCAATGATGTGCTCTTGCACCAGTATCATAGTTGTAGGCTACCATGTAACTTCCTCATTGGTGACATAACTTTAATCATCTGGTCAAGGTGTTACCCAGTTTTTTCAATATATAGTTATTGTTTTTCCCCTTGCAGCTAATAAGCAATCTATAAGGACATACTTGGAGATCATGCAAAAATCCAGAGGCTTACCAAACTGTCCATCCTTGATTTTAGCATCCACTAATGGATTCTTGCCTAAACCAAATTTTAATAGGATGTTTGTTTTGAAAATCTTTTTCTTTTAATAGGTAAGTTAAACCTACTCATATTTAATATGACTGATATGCTTGGTTTTGTCTCAGTCACTCTTAAATAATTACTGTATATATTACCATGTACCTTTCTCTATGTGATTTCTTTGCTATTTTTTACATTTTCTTTTGGTAGTTAGCAAAGTTAGTAATTTTGCTCTAGCAGTTACTTTTGCACTTACACTTTTGTTAGTGCCCTTAATCTCCTCTATTTCCCCTCCCTTTTTATTCTTAAACTTTTTTGAGTATCTGGTTTGCCACTTTTAAATGGTATCCTTTGTCTCCCACCCACACAACAGACTGATCTTATTCTACTTTCCCTTTCTCTCCCCTTCTCCTTTTTAAAAGTGGTGTTTATACTCTGTCCAACATATAACATTTCATACTATTCTTCTATCCATGTCTCCATCCTTGTGGTATTTAGTCCTTAATTGTACAGTTTAAAATATTAAATGCTCACAGTTCTTCTGCTGAAAGTTCCCCAGTCATCTCTTGAGTTCATCCTCTAATAAGCTCAAGGGCTCATGGATACAATATCTAATGAGTTCTTGAATGTTCAAAATTGTTTTTGTATAGCCCTTATAACTCAAGAAAAACGTGGCTGGATATCAAATCCTTGGCTGGTACTTTCTTTCCTTGAGTCTCTGTTGCCATGATTTGCACGCTGCTCTTCCGAAGTGTTATGTCAGCCCAATTCATCTCTACTAGTTTAGTATGTCTCAGAGTTCATTGTTCCAGGTTGTGGTGGGTCCTTCAAAGGGTAGATTTAAAATTTCCCTTATTCCCGCAAAGTTTTTCTGAATTATTGTTTAACTATTAGTTTTATTCCACTGTTCTTTTTTTCTTCTTCGCAGGCTCTAATTACGTTGGACTTCCTTTGTTGCTCTTCCCGTTCAATCATTTCTTCTGAGATCCTTTTTACTTCCTTATTTCATTTTCATTTGATGTCCCTCATTAGATTTTCATTCTTTCTATTCTGTTGAGCATTTTGAAATTTATTCTTCATTTCTAAGATAGTTTTGTCTTTTCAGTATCTTTCTTGAGTTTAATGAACTCTCATTGCATTTCTTCCTGGTTCCCCCTCCCCCACCCATTTCTCTCCTTAAATTTCTGGATAGCAGGTCTTATTTTCCTCATTTGAGCATGTTTAATTCAGTCTGGAGTACTGTTACAGCATTCTACTCTGTGGTTACTTTCCTGAGGTTTTTTTGGGCAAGGGGACGTTCTTTAGCTGAAATGCTTTAATATAGATTGTCCATTTTCTTCTAACAACAGTGTTCTGTATATTTGATTTTTTTTTTCCCTAGTCATTTTGTGAACTGCATTCTTTAGTCTGAAAGCACCTTCTCTGCCCACTTAGTGAAGTGCAGTTTCTTCAGGTAATGAGGAGAGAGGTTGGTGTCTTCTTTCATTTTTGCAGGAGCCTTAATTTTTCTTTCTTCTCATTGTCTCCACTGGTACAACTCTGTGGGGCATCACCCCTTCTTTGTTTATCTCCTTCTTTCCCAGAAGCAGATTTCCCCCAAGGCTGCCCCTTCTAATCCTGCTCACTCTAAAATCCTTTTCCTATAGCTGTGCTATAAACTACGAAGTCCCAATCTATGTTCACTCTTTTGGCATTTACTATTATACTTTCTCTTTTTTTAGGGTGATTCTGTTCTTATTTTGTTTAAGTCCCTCATTCCCCTCTCTTCTTTTTCACAGAGTCTCCTAAACTTCCCACTCCATACTCTTCACATACACAATCTTGCAGCAGCAGTGGAAGCTCTGTTGGAATTAGGTGTTTATTCTGCTACTTACAGGTAATTTGAAGTTCATGGTATTCTCTGTCTCCTAGTAATGCAGAAGGTATGGGCTAGTTGCATTTTTCATTTGCGTTCCTTTTAGTCCATGTTTTTTTAAGGGGATGTGTAAAGATACTCAGATTCGGGCAGCTGCCACATCCTTCAGACCCAGAAACCAGTTGAAGCTATATTAATATATTCTATAGTCTCCTTATTCTAGCTTTCTAATGGGTTGTCACCAAGGTAATTATAAATAAGATTAACCAGTTATAAAAATTAGCTTCAATTCATTCATTCATTCAACAAATTACGTAAATAAAGGGCTTATGTGGTTATATGTGATTAGCTGCACTTAATGTAATAAATGCAATAACTACAAATTATGCCAAACTATATTTTAGATACCAAAAAATAGCTTATAGATCTCACAAAAATGGAACAAAATGTTATAAACATTGTACTGTTAACACACACACACACACAAACAGAACAGCTTACCATGAGGTGTCCTCTTTAGTATGTCAAATTATTCATGTATCATGCTTCTAAACTAGCTTTGGGTTGGCTATGATTGCTTCTCATCATTTCAGAGTGAAAACAGTTTTATTTTCTAGAGTTCACTCCCCTCCTCGTACATTATGCAAAATGTAATCTTACACATTTTTTTAGGCTGTAATTTTCAGAATACAGGACAGAACATAGACAATTTCTACATCTTTAGTTCTCCAAACAAAAAATACTGGTTATCTCAATTTTATAGCTAATGGAGACGATCTACGCACAGTGAAATCAAAAGATAGACCTAAGGAATGGTATGTTTATAAATCATCTTTTTTTTCCCATTGTTAACTAATATATATTTTACATAAATTCTTTCTCCACCA